ATGCATACAATAAGCATGTTAACATACTAATGTTTAGCATGTTAGCATATACAGTTAGAATGGTAATATGCTAATATTTGGTACGTTAGCTTAAGTCTTGAAGTGAAGAAGTTTTTCTGAGCTGGAACGCACTCCAAAGACAAAAATGAACTTCAATGTAAACTTCAAATGTATTCATAATGAGAATAGCTTACTGCAACTGTTTTGACTTGCAAAATGATCTTTTAAATTGACAAAAAGGATGAAAGAAGTTATTATCTCTCACCGTTGAATACCGTACATATTCTTTCCAAAATAAGGTCCCACTGGAAGGGGAGGGACTTGGCCTTTCTATACAATTAGAAAGTAATGTTTAGCATGTTAGGAATATATGTACAGTTAGCAATTTTATATATATTTACATAACTTTTAATAACCCTTTAAGAGTTTAGCCCGTTACGTAACTCAAGTGTATCGAGTTAAATCATTTTCTTTGAGCCGATACCAGGTTTTGGGAACAGGTCTGTGCCCCACATCGTATTGTGTAAATACAGCCTTAGTTTAATCAGATGAACCGAGAAGACAGCTCGCGTTAACAGTCATCTTGTTAAAAGGCCACAAACTGCTGCTTCTTGACTCCACTGAAACTTGTAGTTTTGTACAAAGAGAGTAGAAAAAAACCTGGATGAACAGGCACCGATTAAAATACCAAAGTACACGGTAGAAGTGAAGGAGAAAAACACCAGTGGGAGAGAAAGCACTGCCCTTTTCTTTTTTTCTTTTTTTTTTGAGCTATACGACTAACAACCGTTATGGAAATAGGCGTGAACTGTGTTGACCACATGCACCTTTCTGTAAGTCACTGCAGACTGTAGGCGGCTTGTTCCGGATGTTACACCGAGGTGAAAAAAGAAAGATACAAATACTGTATATCAAAAAGGAGCTCAAACTGACTGGCAGAGGTTCAGTGATGTTCCCATGAACACCGGCTGTAGTGCACGTTCACAAGAAATATTTACGCACACAAAATATACATTCGATGAAAAACATTTTTTTTTTCTTCTTCAAAGACTAAAAACATCTTAATAACAGTAGAGGGAAGAAATACCTCCGAACAGCTCTTTCTGTTTGTTTTTTAATCCTTTTTTGTCGTTTCCGTCTCTGGATCTTTGGGGGGATGAAAGCCTTTGAAAGGTTCAGTCTCAGTTCGTCCCTTTCAGTCACGTCACCCCTCTAAGGCCGTTTCCATGACGCCACGATTGGCGATGATGTAATCCGTCGGTTCCACCGACGGACAGTCGTCTCCTGCGTGCAGTGACCACGGCTCTGGGTGGATGTAGCTGTGAGGAAAGTTGTCACAGTTATGATTCATTAGGAACCAGTTTGACATACTGAATATTTTCTTTCCTCCAACTTTCCTTTATTTTATTTTCCTCCCAACCTTATTTGTTTCTTGTACTTCTTACTTTCTGTCCTTTCTCCATCACTCCATAATCTTCCCTTCTCTTCTAGCTACCTTTTTCCTTCCTTCATCCCTTTATTCTTACCTCCTTTCATCTGTCCTAATTTCTTTCCTTGCAATTTTTATTCCTAACCTTTCTCCTTTTTCTTCCTCCTTTTCCATCATTGTTTCTTTCCCTGCAATTCCTTCCCACGTTCCCTTCTTCTTTCCTTCATTCCCTCTTTTTTTCCTGCCATACAACTGTCCTTATTTCCTTCATTCTGTCCTCCGTCCTTTCTTTAGCCTCTCCTTTCTTTTCCTTCCGTCGTCAACTGATCCGAAAACATGAAAATCCCCCAAAACTCGTAACATGAGTTTCTACCTCACACAAAGGCCGTGGTTACACTTGTCTTTTCAATGCGATGTATTTAAATGGTAACGCCTGATCGGAAGCACAGACTGTATATAAGAAGTAGACGTGGTCGTCGTGACGTCACCCATTGGTTTGTGGACTGATGTTTGGAAGCCTTGAGTTTGTGCTTTATGGTCTGTTCGACTCTAAATGGACCATAATTTACTAAATGAAGAACATTTCAAGAACATTTCTGAATCCGGCACCTTTAACTGGTAACACAACTCCCCCGGTGGTATTACTTCTGAACTAAACTAAAGGATCAAAGTGTTTCCTCCACCACTGTAACTTACTCATTGCTGTCCATGTGAGACACCCCTGAACTCTGAAACGGAGGTGAGGACTGGACGGGCAGAGCCTGCAGGTGTCCGTCCAGGACCGGCTCCTCAAGAGGTCCATGTGGACCGTCAGCGTCCGGCTGCTGGTGAGACGGGGGTTGGGCGTACTGGTTCTGGTCAGAGTAAGTGTCGGAGCTCGGCGAGGACGACGGTTGACTGCCGCTGCTGGTGGTGTTGGCGTCCAGCATCTCCAGCAGGAGGTCGTACACCAGCACCACGTTCTTCCTCTTCATGGTGGACAGGTGGTCCATGCCTTTGTTACTGCAGAGGAAGAGGAGACGACAGCGAAGCAGAGAGAGCACAAAGAGTGAATGACATGTTACAGATGGTGACCGGACAAAAAAAAAAGTCTCACAAATCATGACAAAGTTGTGGTTGTTTCAAGCTTTTGGCTTTATTTAGTATCATTAGGTGTGTTGGGATGGAGGGAGAGCCCTTATGTGTTACTTTCTTGTATAAAACATTGTGATGTTCTTCATCATCACTGTCAAACAAGGAAGTTTTTATTGGTTTCTCAAACATCTTTCCTAAACTTCAAGTATTCCTTGTATGAGTATATTATTGCCAGTAAGAGCATTACTGTACGAATGTGTTTGTGGGAGTGTACTAATCACAAAGACATAACGTTGGATCGTGTTTAAAGGTCTCTGTGTGCTTTTTTTGATTCTCTCCTCTGGACTCTGCTGCGGTTTCACGGCTTCCTGCCGTCCCTGGCTGTACCTGACGTGGCGGATGTGGGAGAGCAGCATGGTGAGGTGTCCCAGGCGAAGCGTCTGCTGCTGGGTCGACAAGCCCAGTTTGGAAATGGCCCAGACCAGAGCATCGATCACCGAGTCCAGCAGACGCAGCAGCTTGTTCCTGCTCTCCAGCTCCTCAGCCGTCTGAGGGGAGCTCGTACACAGATCTACAACACAGATTTATCATTTTTACTTCAGAGGTAGACGAACACAAGTATTGGGCCAATATTGACCTTTAATTCATCTTTGTATATCATCAGTTATGTGTATGCCACTAAGGCTGCGGCTCTTCTATGCCAAAGTAAGAGAAAAGAATATGAAAGATGAATCTATTCTTAAAGACTTGCAGACAGGATTAAGAGTTTAAAATCCCCTCTGGCAAGCATGAACGTGCTCCGTAATTTTATAACAACTGCCATTTTGAATTATGAGAACATTGACATTTTAGCCCGACGGTGAGCTCAGGGCTATTCATCCTCTCGACACCATAAACACTAAAACTAAACTCCAGTCATTAGTTTTTGTGCTGCCTTGGACCAAAGTGCTGGTCAAAGGGAGGTGCGTCGGCCCGATAGTGGAGCTCGAGCAAAGGCCAAGAAGTTATTCAGCGATCGTCCACTGGAGATCGGTGGTATTCAAACAACAAATAACCGTTGAGATATCCGACTTTCAACCGAAGTATTGGACGAACCGACACACTGACCGCTCCGGAAGACGGCGATGGAAACGTGAGTGAGAGTTGGAGAGGTGTTGTGTTGGAGGTCAGAAGATGTTCAATGCCTTGGCTGAATATTCAGCTGATTTCAGCAATGCGGATGAGATGATGCCAGATTTCAGGAAACTTCAATAACAAACAGACGAGATAAAGCGAAATGTAAATAAAAACATTGTATTTCTCTGTAGGGTTCTTCATCCTCGTCCACTGCAGGTAATGTTAGCGATGCTATTGGGGGGGTTTGCTAATAAGTATAGTCTAATAAATTAAAGCTAATAACTTAGCCAATTGTTTGGCTGCAAGATTTTGGAACTTCTTGTATTGTTTTTATTCTCATGATATAATTAAAAAGAACCGATAAGCAGTGTCGATAAGAATAGTATCGCTAAAACCCTGACGATACCCACGAATAATTAACAATCGGAGCCAGTCAGTGGCAAAACAAGCACTTTTAGGGGTCCGTGTCCTGTTTGCTGGCTCTTTTCTGTCTTTCAGGATGTTGAGCGTCAGCTGATGAGCCACACCTGCACCTGGTGCTTTCCAGCTTTAACGTCTCTCCACCTGATCTTTGACGGGCTCTTCTCTGGCTGACACAGCTGCTGTTTAGGTTTGTTTGCTCCACACATGCTGACATCACCGACTACTGACTTTCCACGGTTGTTTTGTTTAATTAATATGATCCGTTGTATAAATGTGGTCATTTATTACTTGCAACTCTTCTGTTCTCCCATTTAAATGTTGCATCCTTTGAGTTGTAACAACGATGAAAACCAAAAGATTTGATGTGGCACCGCAACACAATCCATGTTTCAATCAGAGTTGCGACATTTACACAAACAAAAACTAATCACAAGTTTAATTTGAGTTTCTTTAATCGAACAGTGACCACGTCCTTGTAAACATCTGGCTCTTCGAAGACCACAATGATGGACATTCCAGATGAAAGAGGCGGGGGAAGCTATAGATCACCCGGTCCACCCTCCGGGACCGAGGACGTACTGAGCAGTTGAGCCACAACTTCCATCTGTCCAAATGCATAAATCCTAAAATCCCTCCCCTGCTCTCTTTGACGTTTTCAGACTCGATTTCACTTCTTTCGCAATTTGTTCTTTTCTTTTTCTTTTTTTTTTTAAAGCCAGCTGCAGTGGAGCAGAGTCAACAGAGAGGACGGAGTCGGGCAGAGACGCCGTGTGTGCGTCTGTTAGGGAGTAACTTTGTTTAACATGCAGAGAGGTCGGTCACCTCGATGAAACCTGCACAGTGGCTGCTGCTGGTGCTGCGTGAGGACACCGTGACCGCCGGGAACACACGACGGGTTTAAAAAAAGAAGAAGAAAAAAAGACAGCCGTAGAGCAATAAAGTCCATCTTCAGAGCTCACTTCATCCAAAACCGACAGTTCTGCAAATGCAACTTGTGTGGAAGGATCACCTGCACTTTACTGAGACAGCATCCATCCAAAGACTAGTGTAGTGTAACCCTGGAGCACAAGATGTTGTGAAATGTCTGTTATTGTGAAGTTCCCAATGACGCAAACTTAACTTCAACTCAATGAAATACTAGAAAACGTGAAGGCACCCAAAGAGTGCACATCTCTGCTAAATTGGTTATTTTAGTATATACACTTTCTTAAAATCAGATTTGGATCAAAATAATCACCATGATAGATATTGTTGCCGATGTTATTTATACTACTTAATCCTGAATATGAACGCTTGTATCAATGTGTCGACTCTGTCATTCAAACTTAGTAAGTTGCTGTAATGACATATCGGCAAAATATCATCAACTTCTGCAGGACTGCTTGAAGCTGATGAATGCTTGCATCATGGCCACGTTAAATAATAATAGTAGTTATTGTCAGAGAGGACACAAGTACAAAGATGTAGAGAGTTATTATAAACTATTAAGGTAGAGTTGGTTTCAGCTCAAATAGCAGGTGTCATTTTAACAAATCTCCTCATCGAGACTTCCATCTCTCCTTGTTAGTTTTATCAGCAAAGAAAAATGTAAATATTTAATTTATGCAGTACGCTTCAATTTCACCGTAAAAAATAAAGCCATTTTTCAGACCAACAGATTATTTATCTGATCATGCCACACAAAAATAATAATTCAGCAGAATCTTCCAGGATCGTCAATATTTGAAGCAGGTTGCTCCTGAAAACACAAGTTATAACTATAATAGAGCTGCGCTGTTATTTCAATGTGTCAGGTACGTTTTTTATCAGTATCTCATACGTCATGTTGCACATCTGGTTTTGTGCGCAAGACATCATCTGGTAGCCTCTGGAGCTCATGCTCGCTACTTTCACTAAACACAGACTGTAAACTGTAAATGGAGCTTTCATTTCCCGGGCACATCACACTCGGTGGCACACAGAACTGCAAAGTCATAATCTAAACGCTGATGGTGTCGTTATTCTGTAGCGATTACACTGTGTGTGTAAGTAACCACAAACAAGCAGAGGCACAAACTTATCTGGGTTATGTAAGAACCAAATGTACCGATTGGACAGAATCGAACAGGATTAGTCGCTTGCTGCAAACCAACTCGTCCGTCGTAGAGAAAATAAAGTGAAGACTGCGGTTTGTCTGCGTCAGCAAAACTCACTGGAGTTGAGGAGGATCATGGCCTTCAGACAGACGTACTCCTCCCTCTGAAGCTTCAGCTCACGAAACCGGGAGGTGGCGGCCAGCAGCATGTCGAAAATCTCCATGATGCCCTCCACACACTGTCCCTCCTCCCTAGATACACAGAGAGAAGGTGAAAGGAAAAGGCTAAAGGATGAACAACAACACAGATGGGAAGACAAAGGCACAGAAACAAAAATGTTTTCTCTCAGAAAAACTAGTCCCCCAAACCACTTTTCAGCTGAAAATGTGTGCATTTAGCAGGCGGCAACCTCCGGTTCTGCTGACTGAAGCCAATGCAGAAGTATCTTAAAGCTGCATTCTCTCTAATGTCCACCAGGGGGCGACTCCTCTGGTTGTATAGAAGTCTATGAGAAGATGACTCTACTTCTCTCTTGATTTATTACCTCAGTAAACATTGTAAACATGAGTTTATGGTCTCAATCTCTAGTTTCAAGTCTTCTTCAATACAGCATGATGTTCATTTAGTACATTATGGTCCATTTAGAGTCACACAGACCATAAAGCAGGGGATGCTTTAGGGCGGGGCTACACAGTGATGACAGGTCTCTGCCAGAGACGTATACAGCGTCTCTACGTCACTCCTCCTCAGTACTAATATGGTCACTTCCGTTCATGGGTTGCATCATTTTTTTTAACATACTTGCTGCTACTCTACTACTTTGTGATTGTGTGTTATCATACACTTGATAACATACTATTAGTTTGCACAAAGAGCAAACTAACTGACGTAAGTGCTTTGCTGCTGTTACTCTGATAAATGAACAGCACTTCAAAGATGCAAAATAAACACGGAGGATCTGGATCGGACCACGGGCGTCACAAACCGTGATGCTAATGTATGTGGTGAACTAGAGTCGAACCCTCCTTTCTTCAAGATTCATCAAACCTGTTCCCAAAAGCAATATCCCAAGTGTTGATTGGCTACAACGACAGTAATTATGGACCCGTTATCTCTCAAATCTTTGCACCTCTGACTTGACAGAGACACCAGCAGATAATTCACACACTGCGACATCTTTCTCTGAAACACTTTCAAAAAACACGCGGCTAATTAAGTGAAATGGTGGAGGAGAAAGAATGTGTGACAGAGAGAAGATCTGCAGCAGCAATGAGCTGATTAGAGAACGAAAATGAGTGAAAACGACTTTCTGCCTCTAGTTGAGTAAGTGGATGGATTAGCATCCAGGATGTTTTCCTGAGCTAGCACAGGCTAACGGGGACCTCTCAACAGAGAATACTAAGGCTGTGTTATGAAAACACACCAAGGTTAACCTAACCCTATGGTGATAGTTTCCGTGGCAGTGGGGAAAGAAAGGTCAAACATGAAGAACTCATCCCACCAGTCACGAAAAAAAGACTTTCTATTGTCCTCAAATACATTCACTCTACTTTCTGTTTTCCCATCAGGATCACTTCAGTTCTTCTCGTCAACAAAAACAAAGAACGCACGCACGCACACACACGCACACACGCACACACACACACACACACACACACACACACACACACACACACACACACACACACACACGATCGTGGCCTGAGGTTAGATTTGTTGGAAGAGGCTCAGTCCTGCAATAAGGATTCATAGCCGGGATTTGGATCTTACCCGGGATCTTTTTAGCCCAGCTGATCATGAGCACCAGTTCTTTGTCTGCCAGGTTGGTGAGGGACATCATCATGCTGGCCTGGGTGAGTATTGCCGCTGAAAATATTTTCAAAATATTTTTTCATCCCGTTTGTGGGAAACTACCAAACTGTCCAGCTGTTGTAGGACATAATAAAAAAGAAACACTATGTATATAAAGAGTCACATCTTCAGCAGGAACCAATGGGCTCGCAGCTGAGAGGAGGCAGCGACAGGAAGTCATCGAGTACTGAGACACGAGCCGACGCACCTTCAGTTCGGTTGCATTTGTTGACAATCGGTAAAACTGTAGAACAACAGCTGGCCCCAAAAGAATGACTTTAGAAATAAAAAGGTGTATTTATACATATAAAATGTGTCACCTTCATAGTGTTTGTGTAGGTTCGATATGGTCATGCACACTGCTGCACAATGAATCAACAACAGCTACAGCTGATAATCCGAGTCGTCACTCTGCTGCACTTTGAACACCAGAAAGAACACTTGGCTTTAATGTTGCAGTAACTGCTGCTCCTGCTGACACATTACAGGATTAAGTGCACGGGTTCATGAGCAAATCCAAACGGCTGGTAGCCTGCAGCAGCCTGATTACAGCACGTTTACCATGAATACAAAGGGTGAACCGGAGTGCCAGAAAGAGTCAATCGTTGTCTGGCTAGAGTTGAAGGCCATTGCGGAAGGGAACAGCGAGCGATAAAAGATTTTTGGCAAGAAAACGAGCCAACAGTCCAGAAGAATCGGAGATATATCTGCAGCAAGGGTTGCTGATATCTTTACCGTTTCAAGGTCTGAGTGAAGCTCGTCAACTCAGCGCAGTGTAACAATGCGGCTTTAAGATTACACTGTGACCACCAGCACTGTTATGGCAAACATGGCAGCCGCACACGAGACTCACATTTAGAAAAAGCAGTTCAAGTCCCATAAAATCTCACATAGAGGCGTCAGCCTTCAGTTCATCTCGAGGGACGAGAGAAACAGGCTTTTCTATGAGGCAGATGTTATTAGAGACAGATGTTTAGTTCTGATTCCCAACACAGTCATGTGTGAGAACATTGAGCTCCTTTAAATAAGAAAAAGTAGCAATTAAATAATGTTAAAATGTATGAAAAGTAAAGTGAAGCAGAGGGATTCTCAAAGTGTTGTCCTATACATTATTATCACAACTAAACATGTTGATGTTGTAGCTGGTCAAGTTGAAGCTGTTTTCATTTGTAACAATGCATTCAAATAATGTATCCGCCAAAACATTAGTAAGCTGTCAAAAAGTACTTTTAGTAGAATGAAAAGTCAAACAATTCCCTTTGAAACACAGAGAAGTAGAAGTATAAAATACTTAAGTACCTCAAAACTGTATTAAAGTACAACACTCACTATCCTACAAATGTACTTTGTCAAATGTATCAGCGGCGTACTTACTCTGCTGCTGTGACTTTCCTTCTTTCACATTAATTAGTGAGTGAGAGCAGCGTTTCTGTTAATTCATTCTACTTTAACTTGCTGCTGTTAATGAACTACTTCGCTTCTTGCTGATGTTTCACAACAAAAGCTTTCCTGGAAAGCAATGTGCTGAATTACTTCTGATATGGACCAGCACTGACCAGCGAATCATCACGACAACATAGGAGCAGATCAGAAAACATGGGGCGGTTCTGACTCAAATATGATCCAACATACTTAGAAGAATATATTATAAATCTCCGTTGAAGTAAATCAAGCGCCACTCATCTAGTGACATAACGAGAACCTACATTTAAGGGTTACTTACTGAACGGTTTAGATATAAAAGTAAACGTCCAGCAGAGGCCTGTTTTAGGTGATTCAGCTCCTTTCTCTAGTTTCACGCTCTCCGGTTGGACTGTATTGGTGTGACATGTTTGAATGGCTACCTTATGCTCTGGTAGGCAACAGGTAATGTTAGCTCACTGATCTAGCCGTCCCTTCACAGCAAGGCAGCTCACTGGAGAGAAGAATAACTGTATATGTTGTAATTCACTTGATAACATCTTAAATTGATTTGCATTAACAACACTATGACATTAAGCCAGAAATCAAGCAAAACAACATGCTTGTACTGCACATTCATTTGGAAAAGCACTCATTGAAACATACTACTGTAAGAGGCCTCTGCAAGCAAATCAACAGCAACTAAACAATTAAACCTGCAAGCTGGCCCATGAACAGCTTCATAAAGAGCTCTATAACGGATCAGCTACTTGTGCAGCAGACTGCTGGTGACGGAGGTAGAAATGTCACCGAGCCTGCTCACCTGTTGAGTTTGAAGTCCGGAGAGAAGATGAGTTTCCCGGGATGATCCACCGACCTCCAGATCAGGCCCAACATCAGGATCTCCAGCCAGCAGCACTTCAGCAGGTGGATCTGGTCAGCTAGACTCAGCTCTACAAAGCCTGAAGACAAACCACACACAAAAAAAAAGGGAATATGGTCTTTATTCCAAAAAAAATAAAAAACTGTTGAGTCTTTGTGATCCCTTCACATTAACACCTTTCCTGAACACTGGCTGAGAGGAAGAGAGGAACCAATAACAAGGACAGTGGAGAAAGAAAGAAATTCACTAGTTTTAGTATTCAGGTAAATGATGATTATATCCGTTTATCCACGAAGCCGTGATCCCATTTGTTTGTTTATTCAACCAGCACACACAACATTTGAAACACCAACATGAACGACGAGTCGAAGATGTGTTCACCGTCGCCTCGGCTTTGTTTTCACCTCCATAACATTGAGTCTAGTTTGCTGGATTTATCAGCGAGCCCGACTTCCACACGTCGCTGATGGTGACAAAGTGAAACTGCTTCCACTGACCGAGAATCATCGCCATCCAACTAAAGAACTGTAGTGTTGACCCTGACCTTTAACCTCGTCATGGCTCTTTTACTCAGCGAGGCCGCACAGGAAGCCTCCCGTCTCATCCGATTACATGGAAACATGAAGTAGAAACAATTAAAAAGCTAAAAAAAAAGCTGTTTTGATGCCGATAGATGTGATAGGAACGAAAGCTTGATATTAGCCGTAAAACTATATCATTTTTCCCCTCCTCCTCATTCAACAGCAAGAGCTAGACGTCTGCATTGAATCCATTTTTTCCCCGTCAATTACGCTTCATCGCCTGGTTGCACATCACACGCACGCACGCACGCACGCACGCGCGCACGCGCGCACGCGCACACACGCACACACGCACACACACACACACACACACACACACACACACACACACACACACAC